GGAATAAGAGTAGTCCAAGAGTTACAATAATGAATAAATTGGGGCCGACAGCCTCGAAATCTGAGGATCCCATCCCATGAAACATGCTCGCCCTTTCAGCCGTAGGGGCGTTATTTAGGGCGGTCAATCCCACTATTCGTTGGAATAAGAGTAGTCCAAGAGTTACAATAATGAATAAACTGGGGCCGACAGCCTCGCAATCTGAGGATCCCATCCCATGAAACATGCTCGCCCTTTCAGCCGTAGGGGCGTTATTTAGGGCGGTCAATCCCACTATTCGTTGGAAAAAGAGTAGTCCAAGAGTTACAATAATGAATAAACTGGGGCCGATAGCCTCGCAATCTGAGGATCCCATCCCATGAAACATGCTCGCCCTTTCAGCCGTAGGGGCGTTATTTAGGGCGGTCAATCCCACTATTCGTTGGAAAAAGAGTAGTCCAAGAGTTGGCGGTGATGACTAGCTGCCTTCCCTCTAGCCTTACACTGTTAAATTAGGGACGGCTAGTGCAGATAGTCCTCGTGTAGCTTTGCGCGAAATTCAAACCAAACCAAAGATTCCTTGTTCGCGATCTGCAATTCGGGGTCGTGGGTGCATTATAAGAGTGGTGGTAAAATCCAACTATTCACGAGTTGGCGGTGGGTGTTTTGACTAGCTGCCTTCTATAGCTTTAAAATTTAGGGCGATTAGAGCAGCTAGCCTGGAATAGCTTTACGGGAAAATCAACAAACAATAGCATAAGTTGATTTTTATGGGGGGTGGGGGGTTGACGTTCAGACAGTTTAAAAAATAATTCTTCCACCAAATGGTGATTAGCATTATCTAAATGTTTTAAAAATATGAATGCTGCTTTTATCATGTTTTCAAAATGAGCTCTCTCTAAAATTATTTGAAAGAGGATGAAGTTGAAATGGTACAAGTCCACTATAACAATTTTTAAAAACTTTTATTACCGAGAAAAATATACACAAAAGTACATAAACAACGCAGGATTCATTTTGAAATTAGGTTATATTTCTTAAACAATCAGAAGAGCAATAACTTAGATATGCACCTACGTGTTACTTTCAAAGAGTAAAATAAAACGTAGTAGTTTTAAAATTCGTACATTGTTGGCTTACTTTTGGCACATTCATTAAATACTTCAGATAAAACAAAATTGCTTACCATACAAGTTAAAATGTGCATGGTAGCAACCGATGGAATACAGATATACAAAAACAATAAAACACACACACGCACATATGCCGAAGACAGTATGCATTTAAGGTACATATTTAGAAACAACTATTTGCGGTTAATATTTAAGTTTCGAAGAAAACAAACAAACACGTGTATATTTATTCTACCTGATAAAATCTAACAAAAAATATGGAGCCAGTATAGCAACTGTTCAGAAATATTTTGATGGCTGAAATTTTACCCACATGCATACCTAATATCAGTAATATTATATATCGACTAATGTAGAGAAAAATATGCTTAGGCCTAATATCATTAATAAAAATAACACTAGACTGTACATGTAGCATATCAACTAATGTAGAGAAAAATATGTTTAGGCCTAATATCATTAATAAAAATAACACTAGACTGTACATGTAGCATAAAATATGTATACTTCAACAATGGGCTAAAAAAAATCTAACGACTGTAGAACGAGTAGAGTAATAATTTTCTTGAATTTAAAATTTCGCAAAAGTAATGATTTTTTTAAAAATGAAAACACATTGATTTACTGACAAACTTTGACGCTAATTTGAAAAAGTGAAATCTAAATGTTAAAACTTTAATTATGATAAAGAATGACTATTTGTTCGATTTCAGAGATCATTTCACAATTTTGGGTATAGCACTCAAACATTTATCAGCTAATGAAACTAAGTACCTTGTGTAAAAGATTGTAAAACTGACTGTGTAACAATATGTTGATAAAAAAATAAAGAAACTACATGTTTTGAGTAAAATGAAGTGTATTCCTTATGCCTAAAAAACAAGCGATTGATCATTTTGTGGCGGCTTAGTTTTCTCACAGATTAACTTGTTTCAAACATATAACTTAGCGCCATATTGCTCTCTTATCTCATATCGCAAAAGTAAGGCTTAACGATTTAAAGGTTAACATTTAATACTTTCTTATTATTTGCAGATTATAAATGTGTAATTTTCTTCAGTTTGATAACCTGACACAAAAGACTTTCTCATTCTCAGAGAATCGAAATACGAGTTTATTATAACGTGATAAAGATACGTTAAACTAAAAAATAAGAAATGAATATCTGAAATGAAATAAAAAAGGTAAATATTCTAATAAAACAGTAATTCTAGCACAAATGTTGAAGTAAAACGAAACTATTTCGCGCATTAACCTTTACAAATGAAACAAGTTTTTATCATCAAAGTTGTGTTGTTAGTCAGGCCTATAGGAGAATATGCTCGGTTCGATGTTAGGCAAGTATCAAACTAATTACATTAAAGGAATAGTTATTGGTCTAATCGATTTAATAACGCCCTACGGTTACAGTAAAGGAGTACAACTTCTTATATGTTTAACTAAAAATATCTTTATTTAAGTCTGTGGAAAATATTATGTGAGAATAAAAATAGACCTAATTTTATGGACATTGTTATTTGAAAATAGCTTTACTTCGTCCTTCTTCACATATTCTAAATATTATTTAAAATTTTATGGATCATAAAGGGTGAAATCGCAAAAAGGAAAAACTTTGGTAGATGCGGTGGGTCCTGCCAAGATTATGAGAAAGCGTATGATTTTATAATAATTAGTATCGCTGATGTTAACCCTAAAACTAACTTTACAAATTCACACACTACTAATGAATTAGATTTTGAACAAAAGACATAAATAAATATGTTTTTGGACTTGTTTGTTGACATTATAAAAATTTTCGAACAAATAAAATTTATTGGGCTTACTCTTATTTACTGATTCGCTACAGTCTTAATAGTGAGAAAAATACACTAAAAACCACCAAACACAAAATACATTAAATTACTTATTAGGGACAGCAGTTTATGAAATTTTATTACTTATATTTCTTTTGTCCAAACAAACAATCACATAATTAATACTTAATTGTCTTAATCAGTGAACAGAAAAGGTTTCAAATTTCTTTTTTATTATCAAAACCAGTCATTTACTTAATGTTAACGTTTCCATTTTCAGAGTTCTTGTACAAATATTCACCTCAGAAATAACAAATGAGTACATTTATTCACATATCAAATAAGCAGATTTGAAGGGGCTACATGGCGCCATCATGTGACCCAAACGAAAACTACCGCATCTGCTCAAGGTTTCCCTTGTTGGATGTGAATGTAACATTAACGTTTCACTCAAGGTAGCTTATATCATATAAACTACTATTTACGAATAGCATCTCGTGGTTGATTGTCACCTACTGGAAATGTTATGAACTATCTGAGAATAACATAAATAATCTTAAAGAAAATCAAAATACTGTCTGATGAAGTTATTGCTTTGTTGTTACGATCAGTGAAAGTTCTATTTTACGAATATAACTGTCACAAAAAATGCACATGGATTATTGTAAACACTTTCGTATTTTTTAAGTTAACGCAATCTAACAATAAACCATTTGATTCAATATGCATCATCTACGAAAATATTACAAATATTTAAAATTCTACTTTCTAAATGAAAATATTACTGATTAAATGACAAAAGCAAGTCAGAAAATTTACTGTCTGGACTGACCATTACGAATTTTTGAGATATTCTCTGATTTACTAGTCTGTCCCTAGAAAACTGTCTTATGTTTAATTACGAACTTGAGCAAATTATTACATAAAAGTAATATTTTCTTCAAGTGTATAACAAAGAATATAATGGTGTTATTCGTGAATTATGTAACTTTTTATGCTTTAACAATGCACAATTTTAATCACATAAGCAGCTACTTTTCACAAACAATACGTATTTTAAAGTATATTAAATTAAGCTACCAACGTATTAAAATATGAAAGTACTGGCAAGAACTTGTCGTTTTCAATTATTCTAGCTTCGATAATGAATTTTAACTTACAAGATGATAATCAAAATGTATAACAGATATGACTAAAGCTAAACAATCCACTTTCCCATGCTTTTACATCAAAATAATAATTTTTGTATGAAACCCTGCGGATCAATAACTGACATTATTTTCTTTCTTTTTTTTTATATTACTGTAGTACTTTGTTTGAACCAATACAGCTCTATAAAAACATCCAAGTCATAGCTCATCGTCCATAAATTTTGGCTTCCATACATTTCAAGCAAAAACACATCCACATAAGTTGGATATAACAAGAATGCCCAGATTTTTCGAAGACTAGTACTCGTTGGACTTGGAAGTGTTTACTGGAGAAAACACAGCAGAAAAGTTTAAGTTTTATTTCCTTCTTGTGTGTCGTTTAGTTATCAAATATGGCACTTAAAATGAATTAGGCACTTGTAGGTAAAACTGAAACAATTCTTTCAGTTATAAAAATATCTTCCCACTGTAAAACAGAAAGCGTAAATGACATTTGTGGCCTTGATTAGGGTTAGGGTATTCAATACAGTCGAATCTTTACTAGCGATGCTGATAGTTTTAGGCCTGGTTAGGGTTAAAGCACTCAATACAATCGAATCTGGTGGCGATGCTGATAGTTTTAGGCTTGGTTAGGGTTAAAGCACTCAATACAATCGAATCTGGTAGCGATGCTGATAGTTTTAGGCTTGATTAGGGTTAAAGCACTCAATACAATCGAATCTGGTAGCGATGCTGATAGTTTTAGGCTTGATTAGGGTTAAAGCACTCAGTACAATCGAATCTGGTAGCGATGCTGATAGTTTTACAGCTAGTACACTTTCTGTAATTTTCTATTGGATATGAAATGTTTACTTCTGTACTCTTCTGTTTTGGCCGTACCATTTGGACACAAATAGGCTTCACTAAAGTGCATAACTTAATCGTACACAAACTTTCTTCCTACAGATTTTCTTAACTTTTGGAATCGAACTTTGGAAATCTCATGCTAATCTTTCAATAAATCTATAAATGGGTGAGGCCTATGTCGATTAGGTTTCGTCCGTGTAGAGATGTTCGCTAGATGGTTAGAAATACAAATGTATATATATATATATATGTGTGTAAAGTAAGCATTGTTAGAACTGCCGTTGTTGGTCCTAGTTGTCAACTTGATATCATAACGGATAATATCTGTCGTAATAGCACCCAAATGTGTTGGGGATATCCCATCTATGAGACAATATCCAAACGTTGATGATAAACTAACAAACTATCATGGAAAATCAATTAAGGGTAGGAACTGAGTGCTTACACCCACAACTTCTCAACTCCTACTGCCTTTCACTGTCTGCAGCCAGTTGTGGGAAGGTAGTTAAAGTTCTTGAAATAGAAATGAAAATTTCTACTATGTGAAACTCCCACCCTCCGCCATTACAAATGATCTTAAAGAGAACTAGAAGCTCTACCTTAATAGTTCTTACATACCAAACCTCCTTCCTCTCTCGATAAAAAATATATATTTATTTTAATGTTTTTAAGAATAAAATGAAACAATTTATTTTTATCCCGATTGTTAAAAGTGGTTGTAATTTTGGCTTTGCGTGTAAAAAATATTACAAAAAAAAATTTAATCAATGAAATTAATGCTACAAGTACATTTACAAAAAAGTACTTTAAAGAAAAATACTACAATTACTAATTAAAAGAAAGGTATTGTTACGCCTCCAGTCGTTAGTTAATTTTCCGTAAATTCGTTCCGACGAAACTTTAGCGACACAAGTACTTTCTTAAATAAAACTGGTTTATTCTTCCCGAATACAACTTTACGATACACTTAATTTCAACAGTCGCTCTATAACAAACACTATAATTCACGTCTCACGTGGCCAACAATATTTTGTCCACATACATTCAATTACTCATTCACTTCTTGCGTCACGTTGAGAGCGTCTTATATATACCAGGCTACCCCCAATCTAGTAGTCTCCCGATAATTCATAAAGGTTCGAGAAGGAGTGGCGTGATACTAGTCACATGACCTCGCTGACGCAAGAGTATTAAAATGGAATATACATACAGATTATTAATGTTCTAACTTACCATTTTTATACATACAGATTATTATTGTTCTAACTTACCATTTTTATACATACAGATTATTATTGTTCTAACTTACCATTTTTATACATACAGATTATTATTGTTCTAACTTACCATTTTTATATATACAGATTATTATTGTTCTGACTTACCATTTTTATACATATAGATTATTATTGTTTTAACTTACCATTGTTAAACATACATATATAATTATTGTTCTAACTTACCATTGTTATACATACAGATTATTATTGTTTTAACTTACCATTGTTATACATACAGATTAGTATTGTTCTAACTTACCATTTTCATACATACAGATTATTATTGTTCTAACTTACCATTTTTATACATACAGATTATTCTTGTTCTAACTTACCATTTTTATACATACAGATTATTAATGTTCTAACTTACCATTTTTAAACATACAAATTATTAATGTTATAACCATTTTTATAAAAATCCCGTTAAGTTCAGATTCATTACTAATTCTTTAAATACAGTTACTAAATCTGTCACTATTGTACTCAACAATATTCTAGATGTCGTGTTTGAAAAAGTAAAAATACTGTTATCAAATAATTCGGATAATTATTTTTCGATTATTAAAAATAATATTCCAGTTTTCGAATGTTTAAATAATTTAAATTCTTCAAAAACAACCAACTCTGTTTTTACGTATGATTTCACCACACTGTATACTAGAATATATTTGTAGGATTTAAACAGTGTATTCAATGAGTTGTTCGATAATTTTGTAAATATAGAAATAAGCATTCCAAAATTTGAATTTACTAAAACTATACTTCATTTTTGTGTTTATAATAGATATATTACTTTCAACGAACAAGTATATAAACAAATTGTGGGAATTTCAATGGGGCCAATTTGTCTTCAAATATGGCCAACCTGTATCTGTTTCTGAAACAAGTATTAAATCCTAATTTATACATCTCCACATTCCGTTACATAGATGATTTAATTTACAAAAGTAACTTGATTTTTACTCCAAATTTAATATATCAGGAATAACTCGTAACAGGAAGAAGCAATAGTAATGATGTTCATACTAATTATTTAGATTTAGATATTAATTTTGTAGAGGGCAGAGTACTGTTGACTATTTTTGATAATTTAATTTTCCCATCCTTTGTCTACCCACCCCCAATATTGTTGTTCGATGTATAATGTTAAAAGGTATTATTATATCTCAGTTAACAAGGTTTTTAATAGTCTGTAACCATAGTAATTTTGTTATGGATAATGTTTTATTAATTATAAATAAACTGAAAAATAACGGATATAAAGACTGGCAATTAAATAAACTCTTTACACTTTTTATAATAAATACGAATATATTAAAAAAATAAACTATCGATTACGTAAAATACTTTATGGAGACATTAGAGGCCGTTAGTTACTTTTGGTTTATAAGTAACTAACTTTGAAAATATAACGTTATTCAGTATACCGGGACGGAAAGACTAACTTCAAGTAGCTGGGATTGTCTCGGCTTTCCCGTATAAATCTTCAAGAGAAAGGCTGGATATATAAGAACTATTAAGGTAGGTTTGTAGTTCTGTTTAAGGTAATTTAGTTACGTTTAATATTTCTTTGTAAGGGGTGGAGGTTGGGAGTTATATATAGTACAAAATTTTAGGGTGGTTTAATTTCTAATTTAAGGACATTAAGGGTAACCGCCTTCCCACAACTGGCTATAGACAGTGAAAGGCAACAGGAGTTGAGACGTTGTAGGTGTAAGCACTCGGCTCCGTACCCTTAATTGATTTTCCATGATAGTTGGCTAGTTTATCATCAGCGTTTGGATATTGTCCTGTTATGACATCAAGTTGATAACTAGGACCAACAATGACAGTGCTTATTTTATACTAAGTTCATTATTGTTTTATAATTCTGATTTAATCACCTATTAGCAATTAATGTAACTAACGATTACTGCTATTTATCTACACACACACACACACACACACACACACGATGTGACTAAAATACTAATTTCCAACTTTCATGTAAATAAATAGAAGTGTGTGTATATAGTTTTATATTTTAACGTGGTATATAACACATTCACACCTTAATAAAAGCTTCATATA